AATCGCCTCAGCGGTTACAAATCGCTAATTATATATAATAGTTCGTCAGACGTTGCTTTTCCAACGTAATTAAAGATTTTGTCTTTCTCTGCTAGCAACCGAGAGTTGTGTCGATCCGAAGTACTTCGTCTTGCCAGCGTAGCCATGAGATCTTATTTTGTTGGACTCGCTGGCCTGAATTTATGAATTTTGTATTCTTGCTGTCGTACATTGGAATATATGGAAATCATCGTTCCATTCGTCATCTATACGCAAGTGCCGGGTATAATCTAATATGAACTTTTTCCCACTTTCGCATTTTTGACACAACCAATAAACAAGTAAGCACCACCAGAAGACGACAGTGTAATTTTGAGCATTTTTCAATTCTTTCTCTGCAAATCTTTTTTTCGTTTCTAAAGATTCGCATGTCTCGAAAAGCTACCAACGATTGACAAATTTTGTCAGATTGTTTCTATGATACCGGCAAACTTTTGTTCGAATAAATATTTTTTTTTGTTTAAATTACGGTACGATTTGCTTTATTTTCGGTACATAGATGGCTTTTTTTCTGAAAGTAATACTTACAATATAACTGTTATACTTTGATGACAAAATATAACTTAGCTTGATAGTAATATTTGTCGAGGCCAAAAAAATGCTTACTTTTAACTGTTATTGCTTAAGGAAAAAGTAAAACTCTTCGAGTAACTATTATTCTGTGAGCAATAAATAACTGTTATCAAATAACTCTTATTTGTAAGCGACGAATTAAAATCAAAATATAACGATTAATTTGTGAGGAAAAAAAATTTAAAAATAATTATTAAACTGTACATTTCCTCATAACTGTTACGGTCTCTGTAAGAAGAAATGACCCACAAGTAGAAATAAGTACGACTTGATGGATCAATAGTACAATAAATACCTAATACTTTGACTTAGATGATGCTTAATTAGGGGGTCTTATCGTCCTTTGCTATACCAATTAGAATAAAAATTGGACAAAATACGAAAAGCCTCAGCAGCATGTGTCCGGGTCTGCTAGTTATATAATATATAAGTATTTCTTACCAATCCTCTGAAACGACTTGCCTGATTCCTATGCAATTTTTTTTTAGAGATATTCAATACCTAAGTGGATCAGGGGCAATTATATTGCAAGTAAATGTTTTTATGGTTCGGGTAACTTAGAACGGATTTATTCAAAAAGACCGTGTTTATGTTTGGATTTACTTAAAGTTTGGTAAATCAGTAATTTTTTGCATAGTCTAACATGTACACTACTTTCTCTGCCAAGAAGTGGTCCAGAGACCGATCTATTAAGAAAAGTATTTATGGTTTACTTTGATTGATTTGATTTTTAGACAATTGTATTGGGTTGCCCAAAAAATAGTTGCGGATTTTTCATATAGTCGGCGTTGACAAATTTTTTCAACGGCTTGTGACTCTGAAACTGCATTCTTTCTTCTGTCAGTTATCAGCTGTTACTTTTAGTTTGCTTTAGAAAAAAGGTGCGCGAAATTTTGTTTACATTTGTTTGTTTGGCGTCAATTTTAATATGGAGCCCACAAAGGAGCATTTTCGTCATATTTTACTTTATTATTTCCGTAAAGGAAATAACGCGGTGCAGGTTGCTAAAAAGTTACGATATGTGTATGGTGATGAAGCCTTAAAAGAAAGACAGTGTCAAAATTGGCTTTGCAAATTCCGTTCTGGAGATTTTTCACTTAAAGATGAGCCACGTTCAGGTCGGCCAAATGAAGTTGATGATGACCAAATCAAAGCATTAATCGAATTGGATCGTCATGTAACTGAGCGTGAGATAGGAGAGAAGTTAAATATACCAAAATCAACCGTTCATTATCACATAAAAAGTCTTGGACTGGTGAAAAAGCTTGATATTTGGGTACCACATGTATTGAAAGAAATTCATTTAACACACCGAATCAACGCTTGTGATATGCACCTTAAACGCAATGAATTCGATCCGTTTTTAAAACGAATCATAACTGGAGATGAAAAATGGATTGTTTACAACAACGTTAGTCGAAAACGATCATGGTCCAAGCATGGTGAACCAGCTCAAACCACTTCAAAGGCTGATATCCACCAAAAGAAGGTTATGCTGTCTGTTTGGTGGGATTGGAAGGGTGTCGTATATTTTGAGCTGCTTCCAAGGAACCAAACGATTAATTCGGATGTTTACTGTCAACAATTGGACAAATTGAATACAGCCATCAAGGAGAAGCGACCAGAATTGGTCAATCGTAAAGGTGTCATATTCCACCAGGACAACGCTAGACCGCACACATCTTTGGTCACTCGCCAAAAACTGAGTGAGCTTGGCTGGGAACTTTTGATGCATCCACCATATAGCCCTGACCTTGCACCATCAGACTACCATTTATTTCGATCTTTGCAGAACTCCTTAAATGGTAAAACTTTCGGCAATGATGAGGCTATAAAATCGCACTTGGTTCAGTTTTTTGCAGATAAAGGCCAGAAGTTCTATGAGCGTGGAATACTAAATTTGCCAGGAAGATGGCAAAAGGTTATCGAACAAAATGGCAATTATATATTTGATTAAAGTTCATTCTAAGTTTTATTAAAAATGCATTTACTTTCTTTTAAAAAATCCGCAATTACTTTTTGGGCAACCCAATAGTATTTTTGCCCAGTTAAATACAAATATGTATACTTTGCGCTCCCGCAAGAGAGAGGGCGGGGTTGATTCGCTTGAAATTTGGTTCTTCGATAGCTTTTTGCTTAGCTGACATGCAAGATACTTTTTACTGGGAAGGAGATTAGCAATAGATCGAAGAAAATTGATATGATTTGAGTCGTGGGTGTTAGGTTTAGCCCTTGAATTTTTTTTTTACCCATTTAACTTTGCTGATATCTAATTGGACAAAATTAGGTTAAGGGGTAAAACCACTGTAGGAAAAAGGTTTTTTCTTTTGCTCACAGTGTACCTTTGGGTCCTAGAAATTATATGCAATTGGGTTTTAAGTGGAAAAAATATTTTCAACTAGCTGAGCTTTTTATTCAGCGCATGGGCTGAGTACAATGAAAACATTAAACGCGTTTTTTTTTTCAAAAACAAATTTTTCAAACTGGGAGTACATATAAACTATTCGAGCTCTATGGCATCGATTCATCTGAAATACATTTGATTTCGAAATACGTAGCCGTTCTTTGATTGAATATAACCTTTCTTTATTTTGATAATTTTGTGAGTATTTTTTAGCCAAAAATTAATTAAAAAAAAAAGTGTGTCGCTTTCACAAAAACTGGTTAAAAAATAAATCCGCACATACTTCCTAAGGTCATAGTTTGCAGATCATAAACATTTTTGCATATTTGTTCTAGGTCTCACCCTTTAGAAGAAATCGGTCCTACCGTGGATGCCTTTTAAAAAAACATGGTTTAAATAATTGACTTTATCACCGCCATTTTGAAACAAAATAATAATTAAGGAATATTATTTTTTATTTCAACGTACAAAATTCAATGAAATGGTGAAATAAAAATCATATTTCTTTTCCCATATTCCTACAATAAACTTTTAAAAATTAATATATTTCTGAACTACCAGAGGAGCCTTTAACCTAAGGAGAAATACCATATGCATCATGGGAGCATGAGCCATTTGTTTTGCTTTCCCATAAATATTAAATTACAAATTTTTCCCATTTTAACAAATGCTAAGTTTTTCATGCATTTATTATTAAAGGACTAATTTCATAAATCTCATTTACATATACATACTCGCATGTACACGTATGTATACCTTTCCCATAATTGTATGAACGAGTGAGATTAGTTACAGCTGGTTTACCTATAAATATTCGTATGCACAAACAACTAAGTTGTTTTCATTGACATGTTTTCATTGGCTGAAGGAAGAGTAATTTTCATTTGTACTGAAACTTTTACTTCTAAAGACATTTTCAGAACGCATAGTTTTTAAGTGTTACACACATTTCAGGCAAGCTTTGGAGCAAGGTAATAGCAAATTTAGCCTTCCCAAAAATTTTGAGTCAAGCTTGAACTATACAGTTGAAAACATATACGAGCACAGTGGGAAGCAAAAAGGAGAACAGCTTTCCATGCTTTACGCTCACATGTAGTCACGTATGCTTCTTTCGGATTTTAATGTACTCGTTTCAGTAATATAATCTAATTTAAAGTCCATAGTATACTTACTTTATGGATTTATAACTTCTCTAGTCTGCTGAATGGCAGTGTAATTGTAAGAATGAAGAAGTTTGCATAGCAAACGCCCGCTTGAAAAACAAAAAACTGACGGAGCTGATGGATTGCTGTCCGTGCTATTCAAATATGGAGGTAAAGAACTGATAGAGTGCATGCATTGGCTTCTGCCCGACTATAGGAATCTAAGTGTGCTCTGCTCAATTAGTACGGAAAAAACCGCCTTAATATCCCATATAAGTTTTTATCGAGCGTATTATGTGAAAGAGTAAGGCCCACAGTCAGCAAACTGATTGGACCTCATTGCTGTGGCTTAAGACCTGATGAATCGTTCCTTGAAAAGAATTTTGAAGCAGCCTTTTATGACGAGAAGAGAAACTGTATCTACACCGATTTTTCGTACGCCAAGCTTATATGGATGCTCGAATTATGATGTGCAATATAAGAGAGTATAGTTTTGTAACAGCTAAGGAGCTCCCTTTGATCATTAATAAAGATGTGAGTCGATCGACAGCTAGAAGCGCATGGCGAAATATTAGTTATGCTTCAGAAGGGAACGGCTGGAGATCCGTAGCATATTTCAAAATTACCACAAAAATGTATGGATGATTTCCTTTAATGTTCCAATATATTTTATTTTGGTCAACAGCGAAAAAACAATCATCGGCTCCATCAAATCAGGAAATAGATAGGATGTATAGGGTTTTCCGCAGCTTTTTGGTTAATATTGTGTTTTATACTAAAAGTTTTATAAAAAATACTTACATACTAAAACTTAAGTTAGTTTAACCTCCTTTTTTTTTTAGATGTCATTAAAAAGTTACCAAGAGATTATGAAAAATTCAATGCTTGAAGAGGATCCAAACGGTAACTCTGAACTAGAACAGACTTTCACATCAACGAAGAAATCGCCACGATGGGGCCCACAACATAAAGGCGCACAAGAGCTTGCTAAGCTGTATGGTCCAGGTATTCGATTGGTTTTAATACATCTAACTGTAAATTTTATTTTAATTCACTAAGTATTATTATTTATAATGCAGGGAAACGTTTACAAGAGATAATTTGCGTATATACGTGTATAACACTTATGATAATTGATCTGATACTAATCCTAAAACATATACATTTTGAAAGACTGAGTGTGGCCTGTATGTCGGCAATTTGTGGTATTATAACTGCTGATTTTGGATCTGGCCTAGTGCATTGGGCAGCAGACACATGGGGTAGCGTTGAATTACCAGTCATTGGAAAGGTTTGATATAAATACTTACACACATACTTAGAGTTTGTTAATAAGTGTATTCCATTTTTTTTATTTAGAACTTTTTACGACCTTTCCGTGAACATCATCTGGATCCCACGTCCATAACACGACATGACTTCATTGAAACTAACGGTGACAACTTTATGGTTAGCATACCCATATTGGGCTTCTTAGCATACAGTTTCAATACAAAATCACCACAAGACATTCAACAAGATTTTGGCTGGATTTCATATTTATTTTTGTGTTCAATATTTGTGGCCATGACAAATCAAGTAAGTTATATGCCAATTAATTCTTGTGGCTAAATCCGGCATAAATATTCTTAGCCTAGTCCAGCAGGATAATATTTTACATATTTATTGTTTCGTTTCTTTTCCAAAAAGTTCTATGACCACATTTATATGAGTATTCATGACACCATTGTCGTTCAAGACCAGTATTGTTCTAAATTTTTTTTTGGTGGGCACCTCTATTCTACACTGCATTAATATAAATATTAGAAAAGTAATAAAAAATTCATTTTTTTTCTTTTAAAAATTGTAGGTTGTCAAATATCTTCCTTCCACTTTTTTGCTCTTCATTCAATGCTTTATAAAAAGTGTTACAGTGAAGTTAAAATATGCGCCGTTTTGTTCGATGATCTGTTTCCATCTAGACGGCAACTTCATAATACCTTCCTCGTAGAAGCCCCCCTCCTTATTTGCAAAGAATTCGGACAGCCACTTTTCACAAGCCTCTTTTGAGTTCAACTTCACACCACCAAGGGCATACGCCATGGACAGGAACAGGTGGTAATCACTTGGCGCTACATCCGGGCTATATGGTGGATGCGATAAAACCTCCCATCCGAGCTCCCGTAGCTTCTGACGAGTCATCAACGAAGTGTGTGGTCTGGCTTTGTCCTGGTGGAACACTACACCCTTCCTGTTGGCCAATTTTGGACGCTTCTGGTCGCTGTAGATGGTAAAATTAAGCGTCTGGCCATATGGGAGCAGCTCATAGTGGATGATTCCCTTCCAATCCCACCAAACATACAGCCAAACCTTCCTGACCGTCAATCCCGGCTTGGCCACTGTTTGGGACGATTCACCGGCCTTCGACCACGACCGTTTTCGCTTGATATTGTCGTATGTGATCCAGTTTTCGTCGCCAGTCATCATCCGCTTCAAGAATGGGTCGAGTTCGTTCCGTTTCAGCAGCATATCGCAGGCGTTGATTCGGTCAGAAGGTTTTTTTGCGTCCAGCCTTCTGCAGATGGTTCAAAATGGTTTGGTGACTAACTCCCATCTCCTGGGCAATGTCACGAGATGCCATATGCCGGTCTAACTCGATGTATTCCATGATTTGATCGGTATTTGTCGTCACAGGTCTTCCGCCGGCTGGCTTATCTTAGGTGTCGTTTTCACCGGCTCTGAATCGTCGAAACCATTTCTCCGCGGTTCGAAGTGATAGAGTACCATCCCCCCAAAACACCATTAATATCACGGAACGTTTCTCTAGCGGATTTGCCTTTAACGAAGGAAAACTTTAAAATAGCGCGAATTTCGGCGTTAGTGAACTCCATGTTTACACGTCTATAACTGTTGAACGCAATATCCAAACTAATCACGCATAGCGTTGTTTTGTAGGTTATGTCAAAATCTTTCAAATTATGTATAGTGTTGCCAGATACGAGCTCTGTAGCGCTTTGTACATAGCCGCGAAATTCAAAGACAAAAAAGCGGAAGGGAGATATTTGACAACCTATATATGTAACTATGGCTTATGAGAAAGACATAAGCTATAACGCGTAACGAAATTAGGAGGGTAAGATTTTTTTCTCTCCCAAAGAAGGCAATTCACTGAGTTTTCTCTGAACAGGATATAGTAAAAATTAGCCAGCAATTTGTACAATTGTTGTTTACTTTGGCGGTTGACTTTGAATCCGTTTATTTACATTTTGGTAAAGATCAAGACGCATACCACCAATTGGAGGAGTACTCGGCCGAAAACTACTTCAGTGGTTACAAAGCGCCATTTATATATTATTATTATATGCAGCTTGTGAAAATTTATCCAATTTCTTCTGGTTCTGGTCAATATAACAAATGCAACAAAAACCTTTTCTTGGAAATGTTCCAAAAATATCGCAGGTTTCAATAGACCTCTTTACTTAAACTTATTTATTGTTTATTAGCTCACACCACTATTTTATTTCTTCTTGCAATATTTATGAATGCTTTTCGCACTGTTTTGCAGATACACAAATGGTCACATACATATTGGGGCCTACCGAGATGGGTACTGTTCTTACAGCAATATCACATAGTATTGCCGCGAAAGCATCACCGTATTCATCATGTAGCACCGCATGAGACGTATTTCTGTATAACCACAGGCTGGTTAAATTGGCCGTTGGAGAAAATAAGGTGTGTAAATATTATATTTTGAAAAATATTAAACTGCATACAAAATAGCCGACCTTTATTCGAGACTACTTCCGAGTTTCTTGCACCGTTGAGTACAACGTCTAAAACATTCACAGCTGGTGTATTTTCCTTCAATGCATAACTTTTTGTACAATCTTTCCAACTGTCTGTTGTGTGCGAATATTTGTCACATTTGATGTCTAAATTAACCGAAGAGGATTTAATATTCACCAGGTTCCAGTTTGAAATTGCATTTTTTTATACCCAACTATTGAAAGTGGCATATTACGAATGACATCCGAAAAGAGAAACGAAATCGAAACGAAATTTACATGCATCAAGTCTTGAAAGCCATTTTTTTGCATTCTCTTGTGTGTTTTCAATTTGCTTTCACACTTGCTGCACTTGCATGTACGAGGTATCTGTACCCTTCCCCTTTATTCTCACCTCCCTCGTCTACGAACTAGCAGACTTGAAAGCAAGACTTGACGCATGTGATCGTAAAGGTGTCATATTTCACCAGGACAACGCTAGACCGCACACATCTTTGGTCACTCGCCAAAAACTGAGTGAGCTTGGCTGGGAACTTTTAATGCATCCACCATATAGCCCTGACCTTGCACCATCAGACTACCATTTATTTCGATTTTTGCAGAACTCCTTAAATGGTAAAACTTTCGGCAATGATGATCTCTATAAAATCGCACTTGGTTCAGTTTCTTGCAGATAAAGGCCAGAAGTTCTGTAAGCGTGGAATACCAAATTTGCCAGGAAGATGGCAAAAGGTTATCGAACAAAATGCATTTACTTTCTTTTAAAAAGTCCGCAATTACTTTTTGGGCAACTATATAAAGGCATAACATTCACCAAGAGACCGTATTACCCATTACTTGCGATGCTAATTTTCAATTAATTTATTAAACGTCAGAGTAACATACGAGTATTGCTGCAACTGCCCATCTTACATACCTTCCGTTACTGAGAGCGGCGAAATGTGGCCAGCCGCCAGTGTATTTGCACACTTTTGAACAAATTTATAATTTTCGTCAACGAATTTCATAATTTATATGTTTATGGTTTCAAATAATTAGTTGCGAATTTAGTTTTCATTTTTTTTGAACAAAACTACGCATTATCTTCGATTATTTAATGTTACTTTAAGAAAGGCTATACTGGCAACCTTGTAAAGGAACGAGTAATGAACCCAGCCGGTTTTACGGAAAAAATCAAATCGCCATTGGTTGCTGTGAGACAACAGTTACTAACGGCATGGGCAAGCGGTAACAACTTTGTGTTTACATGGCGCTCGCTTAAGATAGGTTATGCTATGGACGGCAGGTATGTAAGATGGGTAGTTGCAGCATAATTCTTTTTCAGTGCTAACATCTTGGCCTACGCAACAAGTCGATAAAAGATCAACACATAGTTCTAATTTAGAATTTTAAGATTTGATAATAATTAATAAATACAAATATCAAAGAAAAAAAGAAGAAAAACAAAAAAGTTAAAACGTATGATTCATAACTCTGGGACTTTTCGAAACAAATTCCGAAAAGAATCATGCTTTATAAACCAAAGCACATATTTTAAAGCGTTTTATTTTTTATTTTAGATTTTGGCCAACTTTGGAAGCAGTTATCGAGTATTCAACAGGCTGTAAGGCACGCGATGATGATCTTAAATGGGCCAAAAAAATGACATAACTGTATTATGAGCTTTCATACTTTGGATCTTCATTTTGCATAAGTATATTTGAAACAAATTATGCATATGTAACAGTATGTACGTACAAATGTACATTCACAGAGTTTCCTCAAACTTATAAATTTTTTCATTAAAATCTTAGATCATTTTTATTAAGCTGAATGTACAAATGCTGAATATACCTACATATATACAAAAATTACAAAAAGACATAAATTTGGCTTTTTAAGGTATTTTCAAAACTTATACACTCACACATACATTCATTTTCACGGAAACTCGTGAATATTGTGAAAGCATCAACAAAACAAATTATTAACAAATATCACAAGCTATTAATTTAAGTAAACACTCTAAGCTTTTTTACAATTATACACCACATAGTGCTTAATTAAATGAATATATCATTTATTAACATTTTAATTCTAAGCTTTTAAGAAACTATTGGTCAATTGTTTGAAAAAAAAAAACCAGTAAAGTACTTTTTACTCCAAAACAACAAATTCAACATTCCTTTTTGTATTGTAATGAGCTAATTTTTATTCATACATTTGTATGGTATATATGTATATCACAGCCGCAAAAACCGAATAGCTAGCATTACGTACTAACATTCGGGAGGCCAGGTTTCGAAGGTATTTTTGACATGAAGCAAAAAATTATCATAAAAATACATTGGCAGTTCGGAGGCGGCTTAGAATAGGTTTTTCTCATTTGCTGGTAAAACATCCAGACGCACACCACAAATTAGATGCTTTATGATTAATATTAGTTTCCAAAAAAAAAACTAAATTTTATTGGCTTACTATAATTTTATTATTCATATGCAGTTTGGGTGAGTTCCAAAACGTCAAAATAAATACTTAGTAATGATACCACATCACTACAATGCAACCCTGCATTCTATAAATTTACAAATATTTATTATATGCATAAATATTTTATTTAATTTTCAAACTCTGACTTTTTCGAACGCTTTTCGTGCAAATAAGTTGCTATTCGATGAAATGGCTAAAAGATAAGACAGATAAAAAAAATGACTAATATGTTAAAAAAATTAACGCAAAAAGCTTCAATTACTCATCAATTACTTTACCAATACATTTTGGAACATGCAACATCGCTTGCACAGTTGAATTTAGGCTGCAACTACCCATTTCACTTACCAGCCGTCCATAAGTGACGACGAAAAGGCAAGATACATACACGAGTTATCGACGCTGCTGAAGCGCCGAAATGTTGCCAGCTGCCTGTGTGTTTGCACAATTTTGAGCACATTCATAATTTTCGTCAACGAATTTCATGATTTATATGCTTGAACATAAACACAAGGCAAATAAAAATGATCTGTATGGTAACAAATAATTAGTTACGCATTTATTTTTCATTTCTTTTGAACAAAACTACGCATTATCTTCGATTATTTAATATTACATTAAAAATGCTTATACTGGCAATCTTGTGTAGCAACGAGAAATGAGCCGAGTCGGTTTTACGGATGAAATCAAATCGCCGTTGGTTTCTGCGAGCGAACCGTCACTAACGGCATGGGCAAGCGGTGACAACTTTGTGTTTACATTGCGCTCGCTTAAGATAGGTTGCTATGGACGACTGGTACGCACGTTGGGTAGTTACAGCTTTAGGAATGCGTGACAATGTTTGGTTGCTTTGCAACTGATGTTTTGGAACTCAGCCTTTCTTCGTATTTAGGTTAATAAAAAATTAAGCACGTTAACATGTGTGCATAAAAGAAATTTGTAATTTGAAAAAGCAATAGTATACATACATATACATAAAAAAAACTCTTTGCAATTCTTTGTGGCGATTAAGTAGCACTAATATACGTATATACATATTTATTTGTATTTTAAGTAATGAAGCTTCTAATTTAGCACATTCCATAAACATTTTCGAAAAAAGATTTAAGTTATTTTTAAAACTAAGTTTTTATCGAAAAGGATTGCTGTTTAAGTACGGAAATGTGAAACAAATATTTTTCCGATTGATTTTAGCATTCCAATCTACCTCGCAAATAGTTTTCGCTCGTAAATATACAGGAAAAATAACCAACCATAAGGTAGATGATTCAATGCCATAAAAATTCCGAATGTTTAAAAATGTTTTAATCAAAATGATTATTTTAGTGGATTCAATCATTTTTTCAAGAGGTTTTGCTATTCTGTTTGAAATTCTGTTTGTTGAAATACCGATAATTAAATAATTGTACATCAATTTCCACCATTCGTCGCATAAAAACATTTCCAAAATGTGTGATTCACGTTGTAAACAAATATTGATGAGTGCATAAGTTCGTGCCCGATTCCGCTGGATGCCGTTCGAATCGTTTGAGAGAAAGAAATATATACTAATTATATATCGTTGGAAAGGTGACAGTCCGAACTGTAAATCAAGCATAAAATAACTTCATTTTGATTTAAGTTGCTTAGTGAAAAGACGCATGGAAGATGGACAACGAAAAAGATCATATGCGTCATATTATGTTATACGAATTCCGCAAAGGAAAAACAGTAGGCGCTGCAACTAAAGATATTCGCGAAGTTTATTTGGACCGTGCTCCAGCACTCCGCACAGTAAAGAAATGGTTCGCGAAATTTCGTTCTGGAGATTTTAACCTCGAAGATCAACCTCGCAGTGGACGGCCTTCTGAGCTTGATGACGATGTTCTAAGGACTTTAGTTGCGAATAACTCACGTATTTCGACGGAAGAGGTTGCCAGTGAATTGAACGTCAACAAATCAACTGCGTTTCGTCGTTTAAAAAAGGTTGGGTACACTTTGAAGCTCGATACATGGGTGCCACATCAGTTGAGTGAAAAAAACAAAGTGGACCGTATGTCAACAGCAATTTCTTTGCTTCGACGGATCAAAAACGAACCTTTTTTGGATCGGCTCGTGACTGGTGATGAAAAATGGATCCTGTACAACAATGTTCAACGCAAAAGAACATGGAAACAGGCACACGAAGGGGCGGAACCGATGTCGAAAGGTGGATTGCATCCGATGAAGGTACTGCTGTGCATTTGGTGGGATATCCGAGGCGTGATCTATTTTGAGCTCTTGCCAGCTGGAGAAACGATCACTGCCAACAAGTATTGTCAGCAATTGGTCGAATTGAAGAAAGCAATTGATGAAAAACGTCCGATTTTGGCCAATCGCAAAGGAGTTCTTTTCCATCATGACAACGCCAGGCCACATGTTGCAAAACCGACCCTAGCCAAACTGAAGGAGATGAATTGGGAGTGGATTGCCGAACATGATGGCGAATATATAATTGATTAATAAAAGCGCTTTCTTCAAAAAATTTCAATTTTAGTTTGCACTTGAAATCGGGCACGAATTTATGCACTCAGCCAATAGTTCAAAACTAATGCCCAAATAAGCCTTTATTACGTGACGCAATAAAACTTAATTCCTTAAATTTATCGACACTATTTATGGAGTAAACGAAATAAAAGCATACTGCAACTTAAGAAAAAACGAGTAATAAGGAGAGTGAGAAACAGAAAATGTTGAAGGAATTGGAGCAACCAAGCAACCAGATGTTACATTATATAATATATTGAATTCAAAATGGCACTAAAAAATAACTTCTACATAAATTAAGATGCCATCTATATTATCTCCCATGACACAAAAAATAAGGTAGCTTCACTTAATATAAAACTTACGGAAAAACATTTTTTGACCTTACATCTTATTTTATTTTAACTTAATTACATCATGTTTCAGAAATGTGGTGTAATGATAAAGATGTGAAATTCGAAAAGTAAACTTTTTTGATTTTCTGCAAAAATAGCGTAATTTTAAACTGCTCACTGCTACCAATAAAAAATTGTGTCGAATCAAAAAGACATACATACGTTTAACATTACCATTGTTCCACCACTGTTTATCACCCGTTCGGAAGCATTTGCCAAAACTTCATGGCACACGAATTCGATACCGAAAAAGCGATTTTGCAGTGGTTGAAAGTACACATTTTTATGTGGAATCAGTTGGCATAAAGTGGTAAATTCATGTTCGAAAACAATGTGTCGATGAAATGAATTGTGTAGAAGGCAGAACTGTGCGGAATACCCAATTGTCAAATTGAAGCATGTATTTTCAAACTATCTGTATGAGAAATATTGATTTCATAAACCCGAAATCAACAAACAATGGTTACCCTTAATTGTTTCCGCAAAGCCCATAATGCTGGCTTAATTTTCCCCTTTGAATTACACGGTTGGGATTGCATAAACTAGTCATGGAAATTATTCTTTTTTTTTTGTTAGTCTCCTCTATTACGGATGCAATCATCGACACAACACGTGAAAGAATTACCTAAATCGGTATTATCGTAGCTGCTATCGATAACTATGGACAACGATTTTAATAATTTAAAATCGCCTAAATCGTCATCTTAGGCGACGTCGACTGTTAACGACACAACAGATAATTTTTATTTTTCTTAATTAATTTTTTCGCACATACTTTTCGAGTGTATTCCTGAAGTTGGTCACTTCTTTGGGAGTTAAAATCTAACATCAAAAAAAGCTGCCTTTAGAAAAAAATAAGGTTAGATAGATAATTTAGAAGATCTGCCCTACGACGTTAGGTTGAGCTCTTCAGCTATATTGCCTTTAGGAATGGAGCATAGAATATTATGTAATTCAACTCAGGCTGTCCACTCCAAGAAATTTTAAATCTCGTCTACTCTTAATACTTTTTTAAATGTATGTTGACTGAAAATACGAAATAAAGGGGCTGCTAGATCAATCAAATTCAAGCGAAATTGAAGTGTGCCAATAATTTTATTTTGTAAAAGTTAGTATTTTTTTCATTTATAATTAGTATAAATTTAACATAAAAGATAATCAAATGAATTGGAGTGAAATTAGTAGAAAGTTTGTGCCTCTGTCTAGCATTTGTTTTTCAGAATTGAAAATGTTTTCATAAGTGGCCAAAAAAAAGTGTTAAAGTTGAACTATCTTGCTTTACCAATACTTTGGTTTATCACTGTAAGTATGGTTATTGCATATATGTATCTCAGTTTGAAAAGTTCTAGATTATTATGCCATTGGTATAGGAAGCTTAGCGCTTAGGAACTGTAATACCTGCTTAAATGATTTCTATGGTTTCGGAGCCATCTATATACCAGATCTGTATGTGTACTTTCATTTATATTCTCCATATACTCTGTATTTGATTCTTTCTCTTAAAGGCATTATATTTCTTCTTAAAATCAGTTTTTTTTATTACTTTGCTGGTTTCTTCCCCTATAAAAGCCAACAGAGATTTGTACACTATTTGTTCTATGACATATTTTAAAGATGTAAGTTCAAGTAAAGCTTCTAGTGTTGCTGTAGGACTTTGTACTCATGCTTTATGCTATACAGGCGGAGGAGTTTATTTCGTTTTGATCACGCTACTGTTCCATGCGTTATGGTTGGTTTTACTATCAGAGTGTAAACTGAGTGAAGGATGTTTCGCTTGCAAGCCCATAACTTCCCTGCGAATCTTCTGCATGTCATTGCTTTAGTCTAGATGCTTTATTCTAGTAGTCTAGGAACTTTTTAAGTAACTGGCATCGAAAATTGCTCCAAAGTATTTTTTTTTCTTAAATCACAATTCTATCATAATTCCATTATTATTTAGTTTCAAAAGCAACTCAGGAGGGCGCAGCCTCAGAGCTCTATTCTTGATTAAGGCTATATTTGCCAATATTTCAATCATTAAATTGCGAAAGAAATGGTGTATATTATATAAATATTTAATTATTATAACACACATTTTTGCTAATGGCTTCTCATACAGAAGAAGTGTTATTTTACTTAGATTAAACATTTTTCTGAAAAATATTTTAATTCCACATTGTAATGTATGTATGTATTGCATATAACAAATACAAGTAAATGATACATATACACATAAATATCA